CTAAATAGCAATAATCTATATACATATATATTGTATAATAATTGAAATGTGACTGTATTTTACAAAATACTAGTCTACCAAAATACAGCCAAGACAGGTCACTTTGTAAAAATTAAAGGTTAGTTTTACACTATTGGATACGGTAACATGAGTGCAAGTGTGCCGTGTCATTGAAATTTCTGTATTGTTAGCCAGGCACAGCTGAAAGGTCAATATAATAAAAATAATAAATACATATAAATGTATAATGTTATGATATTTAAGCTATTTAGTCTTCACATTTATTTTTTCGTGCTATAATTTGTGTTCATTCTAGAATGAAAGAGGTATAATATATATTCCCTAATTTTTTTATGATGGTTACGAGATTGGTCAAATCTACCAAACCTGTACAGAGATTCATTACTGAAAATAACAGATAAAATATAAAGTTTTTTCTTAAGAAACATTTGATAACTAATTGGACATTATAAAGATTTTGCATGTGAAATTTGAAATTTTTTTTATGCATAAAAGTATTATTAATCTTAAAATAAAAATTATATTGCATGTTGCCTATCCAACATGCAAAAAGAAAAAAAGACACGAGAAAAACATTGCTTTACAAACCTTAGAAGATTTAATAAAAAATTTTTTGTTATTTTGTGTATGAAAGCATTGTAATGTTTACTGATAATCTGCCACATTTGACTAACATGCGCTTACCAATATAAAAGTTACAACATGAAAACTATAACAAGCACAAAATGGTTACGAGGTCAGTCCCAGGGACCGAGCCCATGCTGAAAGAGTTATTGGATTTTTGGGATATCATATACTTGTCGTGTATGAGAACTTGAATGCAATGAGAAATTTAACTCATTGGAAAGTTTGTCAGATTTGATCAACTGCAACTAAAAGGATTGTAGTTTGTATTCTTGCTTGAATGTTATATAAGTATATAATTTCACAAAGTTAATTGAATCACTTAAAGTAGTGTTCATGCTTCAATCCACTTGATTTTATTTACTATACAAAGATTACTGTAAGATGTAATACATAAACATAACTTTACACAGTTTGCATTGCTATCTTGTAAATAACATTAATTTAGGCAAACAATTAACTTATAAGTCTGTAGTGTGTTAATACAATATTAACAAGCATTTAGAAAATTCAAGAAACAAATACGTTAACCTTGTATATGTCAGCTTTATATATTTTTTTTTATAAGTGAGAAATTAATGACTATACCACATTTAAATTTAATGAAACAGAACACACATTAGATATTTACTCAATGAAGCAATACATATAAAACATTTAAGAAAAATAAGTCACCTTGCTTGTTGTTCAATTTATTTATGTCACACACAGCTCAGGTTTAAGTAACTGATTTTTATTTGTAGAGACAAATTACCACAACACTGGTTTATAAGACAATAAATTAAAAAATACTTTATATTTCATTAAATTTAATTCTATACTACTTAATTTTTTTTCTAGTTCTATCAGCTTAACACCTCTTAGAGTCTTCTCTAATATCTTAATGAGAAGTGTTGATTTCATGCCTGGGAACAGTTGTGTACATTCTTTATTATGAACCTTCTTATTTATTTGGCTATGAAATACTAATCATGTTGTAAAAGCCAGAAACACTCCAAGAAGAACTATGAAGATGAAAAGTTCTCTTCACATATACTTGCATTACTCATTGTTCTGCTCCTGCGACTACTTGTTTCTAAGTTTGGCCTATCGTGAATGTTTTACTTTGATAAGGATGTGTTAACTAGTTCATTCTTACATAGGGCTCTCCTAGTCTTTTTAATTCTTCACTTTAGAATGTACATGATATCGGCAGTTTAAATTTTAAAAAAGTTAATTAAATTATGAAAAAATATATTAAAACTAATTAACTATATGACAAGATTTAGACTGGAAAAAACAAAGAAAAACTTTGTAGCAATGGAAACTGTAAAAACAAAGTCTGTATCTAGATTTTGAAGTCTTGTGAGTATGTACCTGACTTGAAGTATTATTTAAAGTTTACATTTAGAAACCTTAGTTCATACCTCTTCAGCATTTTCACTGCAGGGTGTCTCTGGTCGGCCATTGATACTAGATGACCTCCTCTGAGCACCTCGATTAGCATCATCCTGAATCAAACTAACTGTGGAGTCTGACTGATTGACAGTGCTATCATAGTCTTGGTTATCTTCATCATCAGCATCAAGATCTGATGGGCTGAGATAAAAAAATGTTCATTTCAGATATTCAACCAAAGCTACAAAAGGGCTAGCTGCATTAAACATTACTCATTACAAACTGATATATTAGAGAGAAGGCAGCTAGTGAACAGTACCCACTACCAACTCTTGGGTTACTCTAATCACATTGCAGAATTCTATTATCACTTTCTCAGTACACATGTCCTCAAAGAGCAGAGTAAGACATTTTGGCAATGAGATGAAAATCATGGATTTTTTGAATTCAGAGTCTAGCATGCCAACCATTAAACCACACCCAGTAAATAAAGAAAAAAATAATAAAAAAAAACGTTAATGTTAGTAAAGAATAAAAAAAAAGACTAAATTTAATTACTTCCAATCCTAAGATCATTTGAGATTACTGATTAGAGTTACATAGCATAGAGAATATTAAAAAGCTAAATAAGTATATTTAACATAGCAAGATTTTTAAGAAGAGAAATATAGATAAATAACCTTGTCTCAGAATTATCATTATGAGGAAGTACACTTCCATTTCCTCCAAATATGGCTATTTTTATTAAATCATTACCTATAAAACTAGGACCATAAAAAAAAATCAACTGTTTCAATGTATGCTGAAGTCAAATACTACTTACTGCTCAAAACTAGTCAACCCTCTGCATTTTGAAAAAAAAATATCAGAAAGAAATCTCAAATGAATGCTAACTACAAGTACTCCTATAACTATTTTAATGTAAAAAATATCAGCTTACCTTTTGTTATTTCGGGACCTGTATGGTTCAGGAAGACTTTCTTTCTGTAAGTTGCAAAACTTACTAAATGAAACTTGTCACTATGGAAAAAACATTTGTATGACATTTAACTTTTAACTGAAGGAATTATATATATTCCCAAAATAATTTCACAAATTTTTTCTAACCTAATATTATATTTCGATAATGAAATGAGCATAACAATACTTTACAAAATTTACCATGAATTTTGTTTTAGGTAGCTAATACACAATGAAACAAGCTAATCTTCAAATTCAAATTTTCAGTGTCATTATCAAGTCAACTAAACAGACAGAAAAAACTTGCCAAATAAACAATTCTGAAAGCAAACTGTTTATTTTTCACTGTGTATTACTTATCATTTATATTTACATTTTAAGGATGACACTCAGGTAAATTGTTTGAGAAACTAAATAAAGAAAAGTTCTTTTACAAGTCACTGTTTTTTATAAACTCAAAAAGTGTACATATTACAAGACTGTAAGATGTTATCCTAAGAAAAAGATAAAACTAATCATATTGTTTAATACTTGAAATACACATCTACAGAAGTTGTGGCACTTTCTGCTTTTACATGAAAATATTAACCCTAAAAACTTGTATCACTAATTTTTCATGAACTTTTTATGGAAAATTAGAAGTCTTTCAATATTAGATATCAACTCTTCTTTTTTTACCATTAGCATTTAAGTATTGAAAAGGTTTGTAATTTGATTCCAATGGGCTAGCTATAACATAGAGAGAGTTAAAAACCACATATTTTTGGCAGGTTTAACTTAAACTGCCAGATAAATTCAACTTTTATACACATCATGTTGATATTTTCTTGTATTAAATTTTATTCCAGATAGTAAACCGGAAAGGAAAGGATTAACAGCATTTGTCCTCAAAATATTACACATACATCACTAAAAGGAAATGGGTTAATTAATATTACTTATTAAAACAGTAAGTAAATGTAAATGCTAATGTATTACATGTAAATAAAAAGACAAGAACATTTACATTAAACATTATTTATAAAAACATTACAAGAATGAAAAACATTGCTAAAACTTAGAAAAGAAGGGCTTGTGTAGATTTATTTTAGAATGAACATTGTAAACATTTTCAGCATCAGATGTCTGACAAACATCTGGCAGTGGATAGATCTGTAAATTTACATGTATTATGAATACAGTAAAATGTAATACTATATTTGTACTTCCACCTTGTAAAATATTGAAAAAACACTTGTATTATGTATGTATAGACAATATACTTTCTACTTTTTTCATGCCAGATAGTTACACACACAGACATGTATGTGAATATTTACATTCTTGTATACATCAGTATTTGTCTTATTTTCTCTAAAATGACTTAGAATTTAACCCTTTCCCTGTTTTAGGTAATTTCGATATTCCATAAAGCTTGTTTTTTATAAACATTAATCATTTTTTGCAAATTTAGTGTAATGGGTAATGAAAATCTAAAGAATTAACAAAAAAAGTTTGTTGTATTTATTCTAGGTTTACATTTTCTTTTGAGTGAAAGTAACCTGAACTATCACATGTGCTTTGAGTGTCACTTGTGATGCTCATACAAAGTTCTCTTCTAATCTTGTAAGTTGAATTAAAACAACCAGTTCCCATTGCCACGTTCATGAGCATCAGCTGCCTATTAAGTAAATATAACTGAGTATCACATATAATACTCTGGTGCTTTAGCATTATGTCCCATTAATCATAAGTATACCTTGACATGTACAATGTACATGTATCTTGGATAAAACTTGAGTTTTTAAATCTTAAATATCCTATATACAAAATGTAACTGAACTTGACAAAAATAAATCAATAATTTATTTATAAAAGTAATAAAACAATTACACATTTTAAAGTTACAGAAAATATTTTTTTATTGTAAGCTAACATAGAATGAAAAATATGGTTTAAATCTGACATAAAAACTAGAAATGAAAAAAATCTATATTTATTACAAAATTCTTTTTTACCACAACTTCTCCTGCTTGGTCTTTTAAAGTGAATGATTCATTGAGAGCTGTGTTTCGTTTAGTCTCAGCAGACATCAACTGAAGTTCATCTTCATCTTCTCCTGTACTCCCACCTGTACTCTGAAAATGTTTGCAAAATTATCAGCTGTGCTATAAGTCAGATTGTTAAATTAACAACTACGAGTTAAGTTAGTATTTCATGTTATCTCTATCAAAATAAAACAAAGCTTTTTGTGAATTTTTGGTAAAAACTTAAATTCAGATTTGTTATCAATGCAATAAGTTTTTTTTTAACATAAACACTAACTTACAATTATTTAATACTAGCGATAGTACTCAGCTTCTCACAGGTTATTAGTTTGATATATGTTAGCAAGTGCATAAAATTTATCATGAAATTAAAGCCATTGTTGGAACACATTGTTACCAAAATGCACTGACTTTTCTATACATTAGAAGTTGTTAATCTAACTGATATACTACAGGGTATACTATGGGGTGCCTGTGCACACATGTATGTGGATAAGAATATTACCCCAGGGTCTACTTAGTATGGATGCAAAATTTCAGATTTCTAGGTTATTTTCTCCTATTATTATACTAGTGAAAGTACCTGGCTTCACTTGAGTTACTAGGTTGATATATTCTAGATGACTATATGCCAGATAGAATAGTTCGATTACTGTCTGACCATTATGATTTTAGTGATGAGGGTGTAAGGGGGCCGAGAAACCTTGGTGTAGTGAATGTTGGTATGATTTAAAGAAATTAACAAATAAGCCTAAAGTAAAGACATAGTGTGAGAGAACCTAGCCTAGAGCCAAGTGCACTAAATTTATCATGAAAGTAAAAAATATCAATCCAATTTTAAACTTAAATCATTTTTGAAATAAGGTATTTTCTGTTATATCAACAAAGTTTTTAATAAAAAATAAACATCTTTAATCAACAGAGACTCTAAATTAAAAAATCAACAAATATTTTTAAAGCTTTGTAGTTTATATATTTCATTTCATACTTTCAGAACATAGACTAACAACAATATTAGGTCATACTTCTGTTGCTTAGCAACATGACATAAAAGACATCGTTGGAATGCACTGTTATCAAAATGCGCTGGCTTTTGTATATATTAGATGTTGTTATATATGGAACCATTCTTTTCTATGTAGTTTTTCACCAGCTTGCCTCACTAAAAAGATGGTGCACATGCGTGTTTGTCTGTGATTTATATTTGTAATACTAGGAACCACTTCTGTTTTTATGTGGTTTTCACTACCTTACCTCATTAAAAAGATTATTCACACACAAATGGATAAGATAGTAATACCTTTAACAACAATGTTAAATCTTTTTTGAACAACAGCAAAAGCCCACTTATTGAACTCCAAGCTAAGTCATTAAGCATTACGAACCCTCACCCACCACATCTGTATAGACTTACTAATCTGCAAAAATGAATATCCCTATCAGACCTGTTGTGTCCTATACTAATGCTCCTGCTTACAAGATATCACAGAAAGCTCACAATATTTTCACAAATGTAACTGGTTTTAAACCTAAGTTTTGTATATAAAAAAAACTCTGGAGCTTGTAGAAAAAAAAATGTAGAGATACTAAATAATGTTAAAATTCTTTCATCTGATGTCTGTAGTCTTTTCACCAGTATAACCTGTTAATAAATGTATACAAATTGTTAGCGATTTAATGGATAAGGAAAAAGTGTGCCCTGTACAAACCTAGGATTTAAAAACAATAATAACCATTTGCTTAGATCAGAACTACTTCAAATTTAATGACCAAATATAAACACAGAATGATGGGTTGGTTATGGGTTTCCTCTCTCTCCTTTGCTTGCAGAAGTTGTCAAAGATAATTTAGAGAATAAATGTTTAGTGATGAAAATAATACAAAGGATGTCAAATACTGGTACAGATATGTTTATGATAATTCTATGACTCTTCTAAATTCACAAATACTATGGAATTTGGAGAAAAGGGAACATTAATTCTTTGGACTTAAAAATATTGTCATAAATAATGGCATACATTCCTTCAAAATTTTCAGAAACTGACAACCAATATCTCAGAAACTTGCCATGTCCTACAGTTTGTTGCATCGGCTTATCACTGTACCCTTGCCATATGAAGATTATGAAACAGAATTAAAAACAATAAAACAAACTGCTGTAAAAAAGTTAATTGAAACATTGTTTTTAAAAAAATAAAGCCATTTACTGAAAATCAATATACCCACATACTGTACCAAAAGACATCAACAAAAAGAAATGGTTTAAGATAAGCTACATTGGAAAACCTTCTCACAAAATATATAACACTGAACAAAGAAATCTATACACCTGCCTTCTACTATATAAACAATCTAGGCAAAATATTGTGCAACAATAAAGACAAAAATTAAAAAGTACAGCAACAGTGGTGTTTACCAATTAACATGTCAAGACTGTAATAGTTCCATAGAAACAAGGATTAAAGAATATTCTAAAAGCTGGAAATTAAGGAGAATGGATCCAACATTTGCATCCCACCTTATTGAAACTAAACACCAACTTGATCCAGAAAAAAACTGCAAAATTATACATATCTGCAAAATAGGTAAAAAATTAAATAGTCTGGAAATTTTAGAAACAAAGAGAAGTCTAAAATACAAATCCAGAAAAAGTTCTAAATGCCCAAACCAATTTAAGATCCTCCCCACTTCTCACCTCACTTGTCTCAAGGTGAATGTCAAGGTCACTTCTGGCTCTTTGGTTAAACATATATATATATGTAAACCTGTACCTTGTGATGCCTTTACTGGTGAAACCAAGGTTATTAAAAATTGAAGTATTTGTTTTTTTCCTTAATACTGTAATTATGGAATTTCTCCAAGTACAAACAGTTTTAAGTACCAATTATATTATTCAATTTGACATATTCTTTATATATTCATTCCTTACATTAATTTATATAAAGTTATAAAGATTATTTTTAAAAAGCCATTTTTGTGAATTTAGGCAAATTCTTAACATTCAGTACAAAAACAAGTAGAAAATGAGAAAAAACTTACTGTGCATACATCTAATTCAATCCTAAATGAAATTTTAAGTTGTATAAAAACAGCAAAAAATGAAACAGTTTTTACACCTTGCTAAAGGTTTCTTATTTTGCAGCATTATTATTTAAGTATTATCAAAACTTACGTTTTTTAACAAAATTTACCAACAGTAGTAAGTTAGTAAACTTTATAATACATAAAAGAACTATACTGTTTATTTGTTCTTTCATCAACTGAATGTTTGAAAGTTTTATATCACATACATTCTACAATTACAGGAAGTTTATGACATTCTCTATGGTATGGAACCAGTTTCTCTGCCTATTCCCATACACACTGATGTTTCATGAATGTGTAAATCATATTCAGTATACATAGCCACAAAATAAAATATTCCAAATTGATTCAAGAAAATTCCTTCAGTGTTTTGGATTTTCTTTTATCAAGTCTTAATTGCACACACCATGGCTGGAATGATCACACGGTAAACATTTTCATTTGTGAATGACTAAAATATTTCTATAGCAATATTCAACTTTCTAAAGCACTTCTGGGTTTTATTTTCTTTACTGTCATTCAAACTTCTATGATTCATTTTCTTTAGTTCTTCTGCATTCAAAATATTTATTTTATTGCTTTTGACCCCAAAACTCAAACTATCATTTTATTACAGTTGTTTAATCCATATTCCTTGCTTATCTGATGAAATTGCTTCATATGTTTTGTAATAAATTAAGCATTTACACATTGTTATTTAATCACTGTTAATAAATCTAAGATTGATATGCCCACAACTCATCTTCATTTCTCTGTCATTCTATCCTACATTAAAACTTATCCACAGGAGCATCCCATTACTTACACTTAAGATGTATATAATCAACAAATCGTGTCTTAAGCACAAAAAGACATGATAAATATTACTATTCAAATTTAATGTAACAGTAAAATTGAGGCTATTATATAAAACATTCTATGATATGTTACTCATAGTTGTATGTAGTTTTACCACACAATAAGTCTACACTTCACAAATGTTTGTAAGCATAACTGCTGTTTGAACTCATCAGCTCAGTTAGTAGTAATGGTTTTACATTCGTAAGTACTACAGTTAGAGCTGGGTGGTTAACTCGATTAATCACTCACCTATGAGCATTGATTAGCGTCACAGATTAAGCAAAACTATGATTAAGTCGATTAAGGTGACGAAAACAACCAACTAATCGAAACTAGTGTTTCCAGTTACTACAACTATCCAAGTAACAAAATAGTGTCATTACAATTTCTCATTATTATTTTTGATTAATCCAAAGTTGTTCAGCTTAACTGATTACTATTACAATTCAAAAAACTAATCACCTAATCAAAATTAGTATTTTTAATTATTTGAACTATCCAAGTCTCATGACAATAATCAATTAGTTGAAAGTACTTGGCTAATGTGCCTGATGATTAATTAGTTATCAACTTTCACTAACCACCCACCTCTACTTATAATGTACATACAGTGTTAGATATACGGGTAAGATACAAGAATGGTTCCTTTCAGGTTCTTACCTCTGTTGATGGGAGATGCACCACTCCTGTACTTCTTCTTTTTTCTCGAAGTTTCCTTCTCTCACGCTGAGCCTTCCCTTTATTTACATGATTTGGACGTGGACATCTTTTATCTTTAGCTCTTGAAGTTGGCTTAGGAGAAGCATCTTGATCTCCTACTCCACTCACTATCCCAGAGCTTTCAGTACAACCAATACCAGAAGTATAAACTGCTCCTGTTTGAACAGTGACTTCTGCATCACCAATAATGCCTCCATCAGCAACAGCACTGCGACTAGAGGTGGGAGCATTTCTTGCATTAGCCCTTGCAGTACGTATACGGGATCGACGTGATGATATTTCAAATTCACGATCAGCATCTTCCTGACTTAGGGAACTTGATGCCATGATTATATTATAACTGAATTTCTTTACTTTTTATGTTTCCTAAAGACCTGAAAAATAAAACAAAAAACAATACTAAAACATAAATGTGAAGCCCAATATATCATTTCATTCACCATTTCACACAGAGCAATATTGGTTTCAGGGAATTCCACCCCTCATTAGTAACACTGGACAAGGGCAAATCAAAATAAGCCTAGACTACATATAGTGGCTGAATTTATACTGCATGTATGGTGTTTTGAAATGTCTTTTAAATCACAGAAATGGTAAATTTAATGATATATTGAGCTTCACACTTTTTATTTTATTATTTTATGCAGCTTGTCAGCTGAATAATTCACAGTAATAAATTAGTGGCATCAATGCTGCATATTCTTAAAACTCCTATATAAATACAGAATTATGGTGTGAGTACAATACATCTCAAAACAAGATAAATATAATATACATTCCATCACAATATGAAGCCTGAATTTATTCTTTCAATTTGCTCTTTTCCAGGGTTACTGATGAAGTGCCACATCAAATAATATACTATGTTTCACATATATTTTTTAGACTTTTACAAAGCTTTTTTGCTGAAGAATTCATAAGAATAAAATAGTAGCATGAATGCTATATATTCTTGAAATTTCTATATATCATATGAGTAAAAGGTGTCTCAAAATAAAACAAAACCAATCTCAATTCTAAAAATAATTATCTCACACAGTGAATTCTACTATATCATACTTCTAAATGGAGTTACCACTTAAAAAGGATAAAAGAGGTAATAAATAAAGGTTTAAATTGCCAAAAGTACTAGTACAATGTATTGAATGTTCCCACCTTAAAAGTTGTTGTTAAGCAATTTGCTATTATAAATAGCTTCTCAACCACTACTTTATGTCTGATGTATCCCAGCTAATAAGAAAAGCATTGGGGAAAAGGTTCTGTATATATCAGACACTGTATTGTGTACTTGAAACATAGTTCGACACTTTACTTTTTCTCAGAAGTTCTTATTAATAATTACTAACGTGATCTTCTCCCATTGATGTATGCTGTGATCCCTTGATCCATTCCTGGTTTAAGAAGACTAGCTTGCTAGTTCACCAGTTCTTTTAAATAATGAACAGGTTAATTCAAGAATATAATAGTAATGAATAATATATGGTGTTAAAATAAATAAATAATATAGTATTCAATAATCTTCAACCTAATTCTGATATGTTGTGAAATAAATTTATTTGATGAAAATTACATTTCAATAATTTAATCCAATTTGCACAAAATGAGTCCTGGTATTGAACAAAAGCCCTTATCAGCACTTGATATAGCAGATATAGTGTGGATGACATATTACATCAGCACTTGATATAGCAGATATAGTGTGGTTGACATATTACATCAGCACTTGATATAGCAGATATAGTATGGGTGACATATTACATCAGCACTTGATATAGCAGATATAGTATGGGTGACATATTACATCAGCACTTGATATAGCAGATATAGTAAGGATGACATTACATCAGCACTTGATATAGCAGATATAGTGTGGGTGACATATTACATCAGCACTTGATATAGCAGATATAGTGTGGGTGACATATTACATCAGCACTTGATATAGCAGATATAGTGAGGGTGACACATTATTATACACATTCTTTTACTTTCACTCACAAAGACAGAAATTATAGATCTGAGTAGTCCCTTAGTCAATGATTTTTATATATGTTTTATAATCACTACAATGTCAATGAAATTTTCTTTTAACGTCTGATACATTGTATTTCAGTAGATATACATATATATGTGTGTGTGTGTGTGTGTGCATAAATGGTTTATATACATGTATATATAACAATTTTATAATGTTACAGTTTTGTGAGAAACAAAAAATGACATTCTGAATTTCTTCAAATACTATAAAATATATGGTCAATACTGTAAGGACACCCATGTTCCAATTGTGTTTTAGATACAAAGTTCATGATTCATATTAGATTGGACCTCCTTTGGCTTGGATGATTGCCTTTAACCCAGTGACTGCTGATTCACCATATAGGGTACAGTCTGCCTCTGGCAGGTGAATGCAAGTGTGCTATACAAAGTGTATGGCTTACAAAAATTCTGCGCATGTTTAGAGCAGCTGCAGTCAATGGGCTAACCCTTGCAACAAGTTCTTGGTATATAATTTGTGGAATATCTTACCATTCTTCCTGCTATGCACAACCCAATGAATAGAAGTCCTATATTCTTGCATGTTGAGCATGTGTTTGATGCACTGTTAATAACAGCAGGTTGACACCATTATCAAAACCAGTCTGTAAAAATGTGACTTGTTGGGAGAGCAAAGTTTGTTACCATAAAAGTGCCAATTCTGGAAGGCTGCATCATCTAGATGTCTGTACCAGCAGAAATGTGCCAGTATCATGGCTAAACCATTCAATCCTTTTACAGTCAGTACCACCAGTTGATGTCATAGCATTCATGTGGCTACCACCACACCCACATTTACCCATCAGTCATTAATGCTATGAAGAGTTATTCACTACATAATTGTTTTTTACATGTCCAGGCTCCATCTTCAATATTCAATACACCACTGTAGGCATAGCACTTTGTCGATCGACATAATGAGGCCTGTAGACTCCAAACAAGCCACAGAACACTGTCTTTGTACTGATTTCAGCCTCAGTTGCATAGATAAACATCTTGGGAAAGTTCAATTATGTTGAAAGGTCAATGCTGCTTGCTTACTCTAGTTAGATTTTTCTAAAACACTGCCATCACTCTCCTAGGTGAATCTTAGCCTGAAAGGTTATAAACAGAATCCTGAGCCTTCCATCTTGTAATGACATCAACCACA